GAGAGAGAGAGAGAGTAAAATGGGGGTGGGGACAGTGGGATGGTATTGCTCAAGGAGCTAAAAGGCCTCCTCCTGTTCCTAAAGCAGTCAGACAGTATTAGCTGAGGGTCAGTGGGTAACAGTGTTAGCTGTGGCACAGTCAGACCAGTACAACCATCAGTGCTGACACCGTGACACTGTACTGAGGGAGTGCCTTACAGTTGGAGCCAACATTAAATGGAGGTTCTGCCTGTCCTTCCAGCTGCAGTTAAAGATCCCTGGGCAATATTTTGAAGTCGAGCAGGGCAGGTCTCCCCTAAGCCCCGACCCACATTTATGCACCCCTCATCACCAAAACAACTTATCTGGTTGTTTCCACAGGTACTGTTTGTGGGAGCTAGTTGCGCACAAATTGGCTATTGGGTTTCCTTCGTGACAACGGTGACCGTTCTCTTCAAAGTTCCAGGCTGTCAGTTGTTCGGGGATGCTCCTGAGGTTGTGGAAGGTGCTATGTAAATGTAACTCTTTCTGACTGGCAGCATTTCAGCAGCTGCCCTGGCTCAGGGAAGGTTAAACTAGGAGGTCCTTGCGCGCCTCCCCTAGCCATCAGCAGCATGCGCCATGTGTAGGTGCCAAAAGGACCTTGGCACAAGTATTTAAGTCCGAGGACACCCCAAAAGTGTTTTACAGTCACTATAATGGGACGGTGCACAGCAATATCCCACAAACCACAATGAAATAATGTGCAGAGATGTCATAGTTGTTAACATGGTGGGCCGGTTGGTGGGTAAATATTGGCTGGGAGAACTACCCCCTGTTATTCTAGGATTAGTGTCATGAGACACTCTACCTCCTGCTGAGAGAGGTCTGTCTGACAGTGCAGCAGTCCCCGAGCTATGAAGCTGCCTAAACCTGTGAAAGATCAGACATGAACGTGTCTTCCTTTCCTCACTCATCGCCAGTCAGGTCGTGTTTCTGAGCTCCCTGCGTTGTCCACACTGGAACTGAGGCCAGGCTGCAAGTGAGAAGGTGGTTGGTACTCACACTGCCAATGATGTAGGAGCTGCTGGCATCCCCCAGAACATGGCAGATGGTTATCTGCACTGCCTCCGCCAACGAGCGACGAGTCGGAATAATAACGTACTGGGAATCGAAAGGAACAGACAGTTACAACTCTCATTTCACACATGTCCCAAACAGATACACTTACACACTGCTGGATGGGAGCATTCCTCCAGGGCTCTGACTCCAAGCTTGTCTCTGTGAAAGTATCTGACCCATGTCGGAAATCGGCGAGAGCACCGCCCTGAATTTCTGTCCATGGAATGAAACTCCCCCATCAAAGGAGGTGGCGTGGTGGCTGGTGGGTGGGTTCATGGTTACTCGAGGCTCCGACACTCATCAAGTCATGGAACCTTCCAACACGATTGAGGGCTTCTGGCCCAATGTTTCCCATAACAATTCTGTTAAAGAGCTGTTCAATTTACTCAGCCCCAGCTCCTGCCCCAGGGGCCAGGACTTCAAGTTTTTTTTTTAAATCGAATTCCTTTTTCAATAAGTTATTGTTGAACCTGCTTCTATCATCTTTTCAGACAGTGTATTCCTGATTACAGCGTTAAAGAAACATTCTTCATCAGTCCCTCAGGCTCTTGAGGATTAACAAATCAGCCATGATCTCGTTGAATGGCACAGCAGACCAGATGGGCTGAATGGCCCACTTCTGCTCTTACATCTTATGGATTTACCAATCGTCTTAATTCTCCATCTTCTGGTTACTGACCTTGTAGCCAGTGGAAACCGTTTCTCCTTAGGTGCTCCATCCAAACTCTCCAGAATTATGAACACCTTTATTGATTCTGCAGTTAACATCTTCCTTACAGAGAATAGTCCTGGCTTGTCCAGTCTACACGACAAACATTTGAATAGGAGGGTGTGCAGCCTTTCATCCACTTGAGGCCACTCGCCACTCAGTATGATCATGGCTGATATGTTTATGTTTTGAATACCTCATTCCCAAACGAGCCTGATAATCTTCGATTTCCCTGCTTAACAGGGAATAGATATTCATCTCTCTCCCTTTAAAACATTCAATGACCCCACCTCCATCGCCTTCTGAAGCAAAATCTCATAAACCTCTGAGAAAGAATTCTCTTCGTCTCTATCATAGAGTCATCCAGCATGGAAACAGACCCTTCGGTCCAACCAGTCTATGCCGACCATAATCCCAAACCAAACTAGTCCCACCCGCCTGCCCATGGCCCATATCCCTCCAAACGTTTTCTGTTCATGTACTTAGCCAAATGTCTTCTGAACATTGTAACTGTGCCCACATCCACCATTTCCTCAGGATGTTCATTCCACACGTGAACCACTTTCTGTGTAAAAAAATTTGCCCCCATCTTTTTTTAAATCTTTTTCTCTCACCTTAAAAATGTGCCCTCTAGTCTTGAAACCCCCCATCCTCGGGCAAAAACAACTACCATTATCCCTATCTATACCCTTCAAGATTTTATAAATTTCTATCAGGTCACCTCTCAAACTCCTACACTTCGGCAAGAGAAGTTTCTGCCTATCCAACCTTTCTTTATAAGTCAAACGTTCCATTACCGGCAACCCTGGTATATCTCTTCTGAATCATCTCCAGCTAAGTAATATCCTTCCTGTGACAGGGCAACCAGATCTGGGCACAGTATTCCAGAAGAGACCTGTCCTGAAAGGACAACTCCTGATTTTAAAACAGAGCCCATAGTCTGGACCCCACCCACAAAACATCACTCCCACGTCCATCTTGTCAAGATCATTCAGTATCTTATAAACTTCAATCAAATCACCCCTCACTCTTCTAAACTCCAGTGGAAACCTGCCCAACCTGTTCAACTCCTCCTCAGATGAAAAACCACTCATTCCAGTAAACCACCTCCAATGTATTTACTTCACTATTATCTTGTACGACAAAGCTTGGAATTGATCTATCCTTTGGCATTTCAACATTCAGTGGCTGAAGTCTACCTCTTTGTCTACTGAAAAGTGAAATCCATAGGGATCACTATAGGCAGAGAGGTTGCTCCATAAGGATGGATCCAGGGTGGAGGGTGAAAGATTTGTACAGAAGATGGGATACATTGAAACCGCCCGCCTCCAAACTCTCCATTCCCACGCCCACTTGGCTAATGAACACCATTCCACGAAGCTGGTTCTCATAAACAATCTGCCAAACCCCAAAATCGAGAGATGAGGAGAGAATTATTGGGTTGTTGATAGAAACGTGAACGTTTACAGTCCAGAAGAAGGCCATTTAGCCTACCTTGCTTATCAGCAAAAAGCCGACATCCTAACCAACCTATCCCACTTTCCAGTTCTTGGTCTAACAGATAGATAGATAGATAGAATTCCTACAGTAGAGAAACAGGCTATTTGGCCCATCAGGTCCTCACTAACCTTCTGAACAGCATCCCACCCAGACCCACCCCTCTAATCTATCCCCTTAACACCCATTTCCCATGACTAACCCACATAGCCTGCACATCCCTGGTCACAATGGGTGATTTAGCATGGCTAATTCAGCTAATCTTCACATTTTTGCACTGTGGGAAGAAACCCAGCACCCAGAGGAAACCCACACTGTAACTCTGTGAGGCGTCAAGTTCATATCCCAGTGTCTTAGAGTCATTGAGGTCTACAGCACAGAAAAAGGCCCTTCAGCCCATCAGATCTGCATTTGTCCAAAGCAAGCACCTAACTATTCTAATCCCATGGGCCTAATCTTAATCTAATCCCTTCCCAAAGCTACTTGATCTTTTGGGAGAGCCAAAAAGTAGCAGATTAAAAGCCCAGGCTAGTTTGGAAAACAAAGAGCTTGGAAATCATTTCTGAGATTCTTCAATTCTCATCCTCTAAGGCAGTGAACTTTAGATCTGCTCCAATCTCTGGGTGAACAAACTTCTCCTCTTCTCCCCTGTCAACCTTCCATCAATTATTTTAAGCTTATGGCTCCTGATTATTGACCTTTTCTGTAAATCGAAATAGGTCCATCCCACCCACTCTATCTAAGCGGCTCAGAATTTTATACAGCTCAATTATTTCTTCTCTCAGCTTCCTGAGTTCCAAAGAAAACAACCTCTAATCTCTCCTCAGAGCTGGAATTCTCCAGCTCATCAAAAAGATCCACATTGTACAACACCAGAAACCAATTACAATGACCCAGGAATGCGGTGGCTTAGAATGGAATGCAAGTCTGATGTAGTCTTTACAAATCTCATGGTGATAAATGGCGAAGTATGTTGAAAGATAAACAGAAATCCACCGTGTACCTTTATTGTGATGACTGTACTTCCATCAGAATGGTTCAACCTTCTTGGATTGCATTACGCTCATAGAATAGTCATAGAATCCTTACAGTGTGGAAACAGACCCTTCGACCCAACAAGTCCACACCAACTCTCAAAGCATCCACGTAGACCCATCCCCCTATGATCCACCTAATCTACATATCCCTGGACACTATGGGCAATTTAGCATGGCCAATCCACCTAGCCTGTACATCTTTGGATCGTGGGAGGAAACCAGAGCACCCGGAGGAAACCCACGCAGACACGGGGAGAATGTGCAAAGAACCCGGTTTCCTGGCACTGTGAGGCAGCAGTGCTAACCACTGAACCACCATGCCGCCCCACAGTGCATTACAACATAGAACATAGAACATAGAACAGTGCAGCACAGTACAGGCCCTTCGGCCCATGATGTTGTGCCGAACTTTTACCCGAATCCTAAGGTCTATCTAACCTCCACCCCTGCCTTATACTATCATCCACCCCTACCTTATACTATCATCCATATGCCTGTCTAATAGCCGCTTAAATGCCCCTAATGAGGCCGACTCCACTACCCTCTCCGGCAATGCATCCCACGCCCCTATGGAACAAATGCTCTCAAAGAGGAACAAGAACAAATACCTTTGTTTACTTAAGAGCAACTCACTTCCTTTTTAAAGTAATTTCCTCCCTCGCTCCTGGCTTTTGCCTGTAGATTTGGTGTCTATCTTTCTTGGTGAGGCGTTGAATAATGAATGGAATGATCTTGCCCGTGAGGTACAAGACCTGGAGCAGTTCAATTGCTGTGAAAGAACATGGCTGCCATGTCTGGGCTGCTCTCTATGACCTCTCAAACATATACCTGACAGGAAACATTTGGCCCATCCAGACTATCCCACACCCAGGGTTATCCTCTGCATACACTCCTCACCTTACGCAAAGACACTTGATCTTTTGGGAGACCCAATAGATAGCAGATTTAAAACTCCAGCCAGCTTCAAAAACAAATTTCTCCTGATCCCTTTAGATAATCCAAACTGGCTTGTGGAGGTCAAATCTACTTTTTCGACAAGTGACTGCCACCAGCAACTCTATTGTCCGTTGCTTCATTACCACTGGTAGAAACATCACTGGCTAAACCAGATGATTTGAAGCCTCTTTAATAGCTCGCTAACTAAAGGTGAAGTAACAAGTGGTACATGCAACGGATTTGAAGCTGTGTTTATACAGAAGAAAGAGTGCAACAACTTTACTACATTTGAATATTGTCTGTCTCACCCTGTGAGAAAGAATGGCCTATCTGGATTGGGCAGCAAAATAAATGGCTGAGAAACTATAACAGGGGACAAGGGATTGGGATGACCCGAGGAACTGACATTCTTTTTTTGAGATGTGTGGGACACATCATAGAGGAAATCACACAACAATTTGCAATCCTCTATTTCAGCAATGATTTCACATCAATTTTTGAAACTGGCCATTCCATCAAGTATAGCAGATTGGGAAACATGAGCTAATTGTGGTGGCTAAGTGTGTGCGTGTGGTGTCACAGTCCACTCAAGTCTGATAACGTGCACATTTACCTGCACCTTGCAGTCCGCATCAATGGAGATGTTATCACACACCTCTGGAGCAAGTGGGACTTCAACCTAGGTGTCCTGGTCCAGAGGTGAGGGTACTACCACTGCACTGCAAGAACCCTTGGCTGGAGCTAAGAATAGTGATGGAAGAGGCTCCAATTTCTTTCTGACTGGTGGTTGACCAGGAATCCCTCCAGCCCGTTCTCAGCTCCTGCTTTTGGTATGTGTTGGAAAGACTTACACAACTGAAATTCAACCTGTTTGGTCTCTTATGAATGCACCTTCCTCAGCCATCAAGTCCTAGAATGGGACTCAAACTGGGACTTTCTGACTCACAGACAGGGACACTACCCACTACCCCACATAATTTCTTTCTACCTATTCTATAGAAAGTTATTTCCATTGGTGGAGAATCCAGAAACTATCAGGACACAGTAATCCACTTGATTGATACACCATCCTTCACCTTCAACATCCACCCCCTCCACCACCGATGCTCAGTAGCAGCAGCGTGTACCACCTACAAGATGCCCTGTGGCAACTCACCAAGGCTGTGTCGACTGCACCTTCCAAACTTGCTACCTCTACCATCTGGAAGGACAAGGGCAGCAGAAACATGGGAACACCAACACCTGAAAGCTCCCCTCCAAGACACTCACCATCCTGACTTGGAAATATATCACCGCTCCTTCACTGTTGCTGGGTCAAAATCCTGCAATTGCCTCCCTATCTGCGCTGTGGGTCTACCTACAGCACATGGACTACAGCAATCCAAGAAGGCAGCTCATCATCTTCTCATGAAGGGGCAACTAGTGCACCCAAATACCATGAATGAACAAAATACAACCTGGGGCCACACACTCATGTATAAAGATATCAAGCCACGGTGTCAACGGATATGGAATCAGGACAAATTGGATGGAGTTGAGGTTCAGATCTGATACATTGAATGGAATATTTGGACAATTCAGACGTTGAATAGCCTGCTCATGCTCGTACGTTTCACGCAGTCAAGATGCAATGGTAAAAGGAAAGCCATGTGACAATCAGAGTTCCTTGAGAATCAGATGATTTTTAGCTGAGATTATAGGACAAGGTCAAGAAACTAGCTTCATCATTCTCATCTGATGAGACATTGGAGATTGCAAACTTCAACGTCGTTCTCACGCATTCACCTCCAAATGACCTGAGGAACGAGAAAATATTATTTGGCTCAAATTAGTTAATGACACAGCAGTGAACCAGGGAGTGGGACTTACCAAGAGAATGTCTGCAATAATTGCCCAATTCAAAGCGAGTAATGTCTCTCCCAAGGCAATGAAAACCTTTGAGAAAAAAAGAAACCATTTTTACTCAGGGTGTCATCCTGCAGTAAAATCAGACACTAGGCAGCATGCAGTTACTATGGAGTTGCCAGATCGATGATGATCATTGTTTTCGATAGACCCTCACCTTCAGCATGGTCACCAGTATTTGAATGTAACCAATGGATAATGGGAAATACACCAAGTGTTTGCAGTGACACTTGCTGCTCACGAGCTGGTTACCAACTCAGTCATGTTCACACTTCAAGATAAAAAGGTTCATTAGTAACAGCAGGGGTGAGGGATGGTTGACAAGGAGGAAGGCCGGTCAGTGGAAGAGATCGCACAATCTCATTTCCATCCTGCAGAAGGCTAAATACCTTCAGCTGTGGAACAGGTCAAAGGTTCAGCACGCTAGAGGCAAAGGGGGGACCATCTATACAGGACACCACACTGCCCGGGCCAGGCACACACGGAACGTCCCACTGCCCGGGCCAAGCGCACACGGAATGGCCCACTGCCTGGGCCAGGTGCACACGGAATGGCCCACTGCCCGGGCCAGGCGCACACGGAATGTCCCACTGCCCCGGCCAGGTGCACATGGAATGTCCCACTGCCCAGGACAGGCGCACACGGAATGTCCCACTGCCCAGGACAGGCGCACACGGAATGGCCCAGGTAATGATACACTGTCTGGGTGTTTTGTTTATGAGTTTGCACAATTCCCTACCATCCTGATGAACATGAACTGTAAACTCACTACAGCTTGAATGCACTGTCTCTGATGTTATACCAGTGTTGTAACTGTAGACAAGCAATGAATTATACATAGTAGATGCTGAATTATAGAAGCAGATAAATTCTCAGACTCTATTTTAGCTACGACTCTTATACAAAGGCATGTACAAGGCTGTAGTACAACACTTTGTGTATTATGAGGGTCTATTTCAGTGAGTGCAATATGTTAACCATTTAACCATGTCGCTGATACCACCCACAGTGGTGATGGCCTCTTAGTATCATCACTGGAGCATTAATCTCGGAGACCGAGGTAATGTTTATTATATACATTCTATATACCTCAAACTCAGGCCTGAGCACTCTGTATAGGAGTGAGGGGATGAACTGAGGAAAACAAGGGCACTCAACGTGTCAAACCTGGAGAATAAAGACCAAAAGGGAACAGAAGCAGAATTAATGGATCACAGAATTGGGAACTGTCTGTCATGACAGTTGAAAATTTAAAAATGGGGCAGCATATCGGCTCAGTGGTTGGTACTACTACGTCACAGCACCAGGGACCCGGGTTCAATTCCAGCCTCAGGCAACTGACTGTTTGGAGTTTGCACATTCACCCTGTGTCTGCGTGGGTTTCCTCCGGGTGCTCCAGTTTCCTCCCACAGTCCAAAGATGTGCAAAGTAGGTGGATTGGCCATGCTAAGTAAGCCATAGTGTCCAGGGACATATGGTTAGATGGATTAGCCATGGGAAATGCAGGGTCGGGGGTTGAATCTGCGTGGGATGATCTTCAGAGAGTGAATGTGGACTTGTTGAGCTAAGTGGCCTGTTTCCACACTGTAAGGATTCTATCCTGTTCTATATAATAGAAATCCTGATATCAAGAAATCCATTATAGATTAAAAAAATGCAACCACAGTTTCTGGCGTTGGTCATGTGATTAGGCTACTCATTTGCACAGTGCATGTAAGTGAACTTGAAGTTTGTTGTGGATCTGTCTGTGAGGAAAAAGCAGTATCAAAACGGTTTGTGATCAATGTGAGTGCTTTACTTTGGGAGCAGATACAACAAAAGAAGTATCCACGTGTGAAGCAACGATTGTGCATCAGGGACTCTCCAGTGCACATGGCATTGACATGGCCCTGTCAGTAACTTCTATTGGGCAACACTGGTTTGGGTATCGTGGGCCTGCATCTTACCATATTTTAGGCAGCATGTCAAATACAGCAAATTTTATGGAGGGTTTCTATCCGTGAGGCCTGGAGAGTTTTATCACATTATTGTCCCAAACCTGTCTCATTAATCTCCCGCCCATCCCCACCCCACAGCACCCTTCTTGTCCAATACTAGCCTGATTCCACCATGTGCCACAGCCCGAAGAACTCCCCACTGCCTGGATATCCCAAATGGACTGGCATCCCCGACAACAGTGCCATCTTCAGTCCAGAGCTGACCCACACGGTTCAGGATGTAGCACAGAAGGGATAATGGGCATTCCACTTTCCAGGCAGGGTCTGGAGGCCCTGCTGGATATTGGTTGGGGGGAGCTGTTTCAGACATGGTTCATTCTCTACTCCCTGGACCAACAGAGAAGGACACAGCAATAGGGCATACCAGCCGCCTGGGTCAGTGTAGTCTGCAGGAATGCCCAGCGATGTAAGAAGGAGGTTAATGAACATCTCCTCTCTGCCTGGGTAAGTGCTACCATCTTCTCACACTCCCTCCCTCTCTCCCTGCTACTGTACCCAGCTCCCACTCTCCTCCTCTCACTATTACCTGTAACACCTTCCCCCACTTACCCTCATCCACACCACACCCCCCATCCCTTACCTCACAAGGCCTCTTTGCTGCCTACTCACTCACTTGGCATACCTCACCACCTTCTGCCCACCCTCACCAGCTGTGCCACCCATTTTCATCTCCTTTCTTTCAGCCCAGGAGAAAACAGCCCACAAAACTGGTGGTAGGCTTCCTGGAATCCCTATCGTGTGGAAGCAGGCCATTCAGCCCATTGGATCCACACTAACTCTCCATAGGACATCCCACCCAGACCCACACATCTAACCCTGTAACCCGGCATTTCCCCACATCTAACCCACCTAGCCTTCACACCACTGGACACGACAGGCAATTTAAGCATGGCTAATCCACCTAACCTGCATGTCTTTGTTACTGTGGGAGGAAACCGGAGCACCCAGTGGAAACCCACGCAGACACGAGGTGAATGTGCAAACTCCACACAGACAGTCACCCAAGGTTGGAATCGAGCCTGGGTCCCTGACACTGTGAGGCAGCAGTGCTAACCACTGAGGCACCGTGCCACATGCAGGTAGGCACTGAGTAAGGCACAGAGCAAGTGAGCAGCCCTGAGATGCAGCCTGGTCCTGCACACTGTAGGCTGTAAGCAGCATCACAACAGGAGGTGGTCAGAGAGGAAACTGCATCTTAATGAGGTGCATTATGCAGTTACTGAGGGTGATAGCGAGCGATAATTCCCAATAATTGACATCTCCCCACTCCGCGGCGAGTATCTCATCTCAATGCCCAGAATTCTGTTGGAGCATGCAGCAAATTGGTCCCGACATCGGGAACTGTCTTGTTTAACTCCCAGCGGGAGTCTCCCAGATTTCCCACCATCGCCCACATCGTTCTGCTCAGTGGGTTATGTACTTTATGGAGGGTGATGTGTTCTACAAGTCTGTGTATCATACAGTACAGATACGATTGTGTTTTCTTGTACATTGAATCAGTGAATGCTACAACGGTAAAACCGGCTGTTTGGCCCATCGTATCTGTTAGTGGTTATAGGTCCTTAGTGTGTGTGGCTGTGGTGTTTACTTCATTACACAGTGTCAACAAAACAATATAGGAACAGGTGAGTACAGGGATTTGGATAATTAATTTTAAAAAACTAAGATAAATTATTTAACGGGAAAGGTAATTCTAGGGATAAGTTTATGAATTGCAGGAAATGCTTTCTTCTGAAAGTGTTTGCCTATTTAAATAATGTATTTTCTCCTGCAGGAATTGGATCAGATTGGGGAATTTAGTTAGGCTTAGTGCCAACAGGGCCTACGAAACGTCCTGAAGTCGTGTATTCATGCAGTAGCCGTGAACCTGATGTTATAACTCTCAGCTTTCACTGGGTTTTAAACTTGTTTCATTTTTATTACATACAGTCTCACCATCGACTGGCTGGAAAGTATATTACTGCCTTCAGCAGCTATTCAGACCCTGCAAAACAGCAGCATTAGCAAACACTTGCCCACACTGTGTTGCAGTCCTTTTCATAGAATCCAGACAGGAGCCCTTTCTACAATGATATACCGGGGTTTTGGCTATAACAGTCGACAGGGCAAAATCCCAAATCATTTTAATACAAATCACATTATCAGTGAGAAAATACTCAGCTTCCATTTGTCTTTCACCATTGTATGCCTGTCTAGGTTTGTGTTTGTGCTGTCTGTATGCGTATCTGACTGTGTATCTGTCTGTGTGTGTGTGTACTCTGAATTTGTGTCTCCCTGTGCATGTATGTGTCTCTCTCTTTCTGTCTGTCAGCATTTGTGTGTGTGTGTGTGTGTGTGTGTGTGTGTGTGACTCTAAATGTGTATGTGTGTGTGTCTCTCTCTCTGTATATGTCTCACTGCTTGTGGATGTGTCTCTTTCTCTCGATCTGTGTCTCTGTATGTGTGTCTGAGTCTGCATGTGTGTGCGTCTGTCCATGTCTCTGTGTGTGTGTGTGTGTGTGTGTGTGTGTGTCCGTGTCTGTGTGTGTGTGAGAGGGAGAGAGATTCAGTCTGTGTGCGTGGTGGGGGCGGTGTTCAGCTACCAATAGAGATGGGATGTGAGCACTGTCTCAGGAGGTCAGTAAGTGATTGCACCTTCAAATTACCAACTCCCAGCTCCTCAGCAGTTCCCCTTTTTTATTTCAAATGAGCTACGAACAGAAGAATAGAATATCAAGGTCAAATTAAAGTCAGTGGGTATCAAGTGGATAATTCCCTTGTCACAGTTCGCTCAAACAGAAGGCAGCTGTGGTAACTGGAGGTCAGGTGTCTACCTCCTCTTTCAGGGGAATGTAAACAATCTCATGCACAACGTGAGATTTCCCCAGTGTCTTGACCAATCTCATACTTCAACCAATATTGTTAAAACTGCTCATATAATTATTATCACACTGGAATTTCTGGAACTTGCTGTGTATAAATTGCCACATTTTACAAATTACAAAAGTGACTACATTTCAAAAACCAGTTGTGAGTCTTTGAGACGTCTTGAGATTGTGGAAGGCGCTATAGAAATGTCAATTTCTTCTTATGAAAAATGCAAATTATTAGAAGCAATTCTTATAAATAGTTCCTTCACATCTTGCAATCTCCTGATTACATTGTTCTTAACCGACAATTAAAAGTATATCTGAGCAGCTCCTGGATGTTCATTAACATCAAAGGCATTACTGCAGTTAGATACAATTGGTGGAAAGCATTACTGTAGTACTTCGTATTATCGAGTGACCGCAGGAGTAATGTCAGGATTAACTCAAAGTACTGTAAACACTGATATCAGGATTAATATCAGATTAAATTAGAGTAGTATACAGCAATTTTAGGAGTAATTTTAGGTTTCATTAACAGTAGTATAGAGTGAGAGCAATACTTACGTATGTCGCTGCAATGCTATGCCGAGCCAGTACAATGGCGAGGTAGAGGCAGAGACTAGAACTCAACATGCCGGCTGCACAGATGAGAGGATCAGCTCTGGGGCTCTTCTTTTTAAAGTGCTTCGAAAGCGCAGCTCCAATTCCAATCCCGAGGATTCCAGTCACGCAGGTAATGGCTCCAAATATTAAACTATACAAAGTAGAAGTGAGTGCAGAATATACAGTCACTGGCAGTGAGTAATGAGCACACAGGAGTATCAGCAGCATGGGCTGATACAGCATCAATACATCCAGCCTCCCTGGTCATGCTCGGGCTGTGCTGTGATCTGTTATATTCCTCCATTTAACCTGTTTCCGTCTCGTTTCTACCTCATTTTAAGAAATGCAAGTTTTCATCCCCTACACTCACAAATGATAAGTTCACCCAGCACCTGAGGCAAATATAAGAGTAAATTAAAGGACCTTCCCCATTAAATGTGTGTAAAACGTTTGAAGCTTAAGAGAAGATTTGTAGCTCGGGTTGTGGATGAGCTTGTAGGCATGTTCGCTGAGCCGGTGGGTTTGGTTGCAAACGTTTTGTCACCCTGCTCGGTAACATTGTCAGTGCGCCTCCGGTGAAGCGTTGGTGTTCTGTCCCGCTTGTTATTTATATGCCTCGGTTTGCTGGGGTGTTTGGCATCACATCCGGTTTTGTTTCTCAACAGTTTGTACACAGGGTCTAATTCAATGTGTTTGTTGATGGCGTTCCGGTTGGAATACCAGGCCCCAGGAATTCCCTGACATGTCTCTGTCTGGCTTGTGTGATTATGGAGGTGGTGTCCCAGTCGAATTCGTGTCCCTCGTTGTCCGTGTGTAGTGAGACCAGTGAGAATTGGTCGTGTCTCTTGGTGTCTAGTTGGTGCTCGTGTATCGTTATTGTCAGTTTTCTTCTGGTCTGGCCTATGTGGTGTTTCTCACAGTCCTTGCGTGGTATTTTGTATTTTACCCCAGGTTTGCTGGTTTGGGGTTTGGGATCCTTCACGTTCATCAGTAAACTGTCGCAAGCTGGTTGTCAGTTTGTGAGCTATCGAGGGGTCTGAGTAGTCTTGTGGTCACCTCTGAAATGCCCTTGATGTACAGTAGGGTGATTAGTGAGTCTGGTCGTGTTGTGTCTTCTTTCTGTGGTCTGTCTCAGAGGTAATTGCAGATTGTGATTTTCGGATATCCATTCCTTTTGAAGACTACGTATAGGTGCTTCTGTTCTGCTTTGCATAGTTCCGGGTTGCTGCATTGTACTGCATTTCAGAGATGACCACAAGATTACTC